GGAGCTGGAAATCATTCCAGGTTCCTGCTTCTGATAGTTATCCAGCCATTTCTGCTGGAAAGAAGTCAGTCTTATTATCAGGGCCATATGCAGCTCCCATTGTTACCTCCTGCTCCATTTGGAAACCCACAGGTGACAAGGTATAAGCCTGAGAGGAGGGAGCGCGTTTTTCCCACAGAGAACTTTTATTCATCATCAGAACCGAACACTGGATCCAATTAGACATAACAAATGTAATTTATTTTCTTTAGATTTTTCCTCCAACTCAATCGGATTAAAATGTCACAGATTCTCTTGTGGCCTCCATTGTGTTATAGTATCTTGTTCAAACAGTAGCCAAGGCAATTGTGTGAAGCTAAAAATAACCAATTATTCTGATCACGTGATTGGCAATTTTTTTTTCGTGAAGGAAGCAGTGCATTGTAGTATGAAATAATAGGGGCAGCTTGTTTCTTTTATTAGACTCCCAGTTCTGGATATTTTTTGGAAAAGTAAGTAACGTTTTGACAAGGTTTTTATCGCAATTTCTCTACTGCAAATACCCTGCCCTTCCTTTTTTCCCCATTGGGTTTCGCTATGTTGTGCATAGTTCCCAGGAGAGTTGAAGGGCTACTTTGAAGTCCCACACAGTGGGACTGGTGAAATAGCAGCCTGTGGACTGACTCACTCTCCATTCAGGCTTCAGACCAAAACAGTTACCAGGGATAAGGAACTCCAGTTAGGCAGCAAGACAGGAGAAAATGGAATTGTTCTCCTCAGGCCAGATAAATGGAGATTTAGGTGGGCAAAATGAGGGGTGGTTTTGTTACCACAAGTAAGCAGAAAGGCTTGTTCCTCTGGCAGGTGTATTGGTGACCAGCAGATTTAAATAATTGGCAAAAGCACCAAAGATGAGAATTTCTTAATTTTTCTCAGCAAGTCATTACGATCTGTAAAGTGTTGTCTGATAAGGTGATGCCAGCAGATTCAAAAATAATTTTCAAAAGCGAATTGAAGAATTACTTGCATACAGCTACTTAGAGTTTACAACAGTGAAACAGACCATTCAGTCCAATTGCTTTATGCTGGTCACCTCTCACTCCTGTTCGTCAACCCTATCAACATACCCTTCCATACCTTTCTCCTTTATTTAGCTTCCCCTTCAATGCATCTACGCTATTTGCTTCACCCACACCATGTGCAAGCGCATGCACTGGAAGCAACTGTTTTCCGGGGAGATGGAGAAAGAGCATGGGCAATGGGACTAATTTGCAAAGCTCAGGTACAGGCATGACGAGCTGAATGGTCTCTTTCCGTGATTCTAAAAGACAGCTGTTATCTACCCCAAAACAAAACTACTTGGGTGAGACTGTGCAGCAGGTGACAAGTGCAGCCTCCCTTGATAGATGAGCAGAAAGAAATTGGCAGGGACAGATGACACACCGGTCAACGCCCGTATTTGCAAAGCACTCTCCCAGATGATCAGGCCTCCTTAAATTAGTATTTAATCGGGGGAGCTTTAAAATCATTAGCAGAACTGCAGACCCCGTAGTTGCCTTCCTGCGCTGCTGATTTGTGTGACATGGTATAGCACAATGTGAAACATCTGGCACACTATGATTTACAATCTGCACTTGGGGAATCAAGCTAATGTCACGAGAGAAATGGATTTTCTTTTCCAGGGAAGTTTTATGTGGCCACTGGCTGCTATATCATCTCCTTTCACGGAATATTCGAGCATATGCTAATTTGTAAGGATATTTCCTTTATTAACAGGAGAGTGAATAAGCCTACCCTGAGTAGTTGTGAGGGATATCTCAGTAAGCAGATGTGACATATTTGATGCCTGTTACAACTTTGCTGTACAGAGAACCTCGTATTTGCCTGGGGGCTGGGTTACTGTTGTACAAGAGTTAAAAGAACCTGACAGAGCAGAGTACTCATGGTGGGGAAGGGGGGGCTTTTAATTGGGTGTATATGCATGATGTTAGACCACACAGTCCCAAAGGAACCTCAAGTCAAACTTGCTGCATGTTTGTTTTTGTAGTTAAAAGAAAAACCTGGGCTCATCTTGGAGTTTCAGTTTGTGGAATTATTTCCTCTGTTGCAGCTCGGGCAATGGAAAGTGTGGTGTGTGGAAGAATATCATGGTTTTGAACATGCACTTGATAGAGAACAGTTTTCAGGGTGTACCAGGGTGCAACACTTAAACTAGTGCACCATGTATTTAATCCTATCACTTTTGCCACAAAGTACACCATCCTTTTCTGAGTGGGACAGCTACTTATACCCCTGCCCTACTTTCATTTGTCCATGGATCAGTTATCCACTTACTTGCTGACCAAACAATGTCTTTAATTGATACAGATTATGTCATCCTACTTGCTGTAAACTCAGCTGCAGTTTCATTTGTTCTGAATATTGAATGAAGACATTTAAAGCTCATTCACAGAACACTATAACAAAGGAGACCATCGGCCCATTGTGTTGGACCTGGTGTTTTTAAAGAGCTGTCCATACCCTATGAACATAAGGCCGCACATTTTTCATTTCCAAAACCTCTTTGCAAGTTCTGAAGGAGGTTGCTTCTTGCACCTTTTCAGGCAGGGCTTTCTGGGTTGTAAAAAAAAAAATCCCCTCCTCATCTTCCTCTGCCCCTGTTGCCAGTTCTCTTAAATCTGTGAACCTCTGGTTACCCATCCTTCTGTCAGTGTAAGATATTTCTCCCTATTTGCTCTTACCAAAGTTCCATGTAATTTTGACCCGCTCTATTAAATCTACATTGAATTTGCCCTGTCCTAAGGGAAGAAAAATCTTGTCACCCACCTCGTCTCACTTGCCTGGTACTGTCCTAGTAAGTCTCTCCCTTCCCCTTTCCAAGGTTTTGACATCCTTCCTAAAGTGTGTTGCCCAGAATTGCACGCAGTACCTTTGGTTGAGGCCTAACCATTAGGTTTATAAAATTCTGAGAACTCTCCAGTGACTTATGCTTCTCAGAACCAGAACCCCCTGAGGCTTTCTACAGCTTCCTGCTGCAAGTTGGCTGGATTCAGCTGTCAACCTTGTTTGGCACATGGAATCTTTTGAGTGAGCACTGGCAAGCTTCCTTCAAGTGTGGAGTTATTAATGTGCGTGGTGAGGCTGGTTGTTGCTTAATCTGTCACTCAAAGAGTTTCATCTTTGAAAGGCAAAAGAAGGTCAGCAAAAACACAACTTGCTTCAGCTCTTGTTTATGAGGAAGCGTTGGTTCTCTGTGAACTAACAAGGTAGATTTTTCAGCTTACTGCTGGGTCTCTGTTGAGTCTTGGGAACATAGGAACAGGCGTAGACCATTCAGCCTGTCAGAGCCTGTTCCACCATTCACCGAGACCATGGTTGATCTGTGGCCTATCTCCATATACCGGCCTTTGGAATACCTTTGCTTGACAAAAGTTTATCGATCTCAGATTTAAAATTAACAACTTGTGGAAGAAAGTTGCAAACATCCACCACCCTCTGAGTACAAAAGTGCTTCCTAGCATCTCCCTGGAATGGTTTGGCCCTAATACTCGGAACTATACCCCCCATCCCATTCTAGAATCCCCAACCAATTGAAAAAGTTTATCTTTATCCATCCTGTCTTCCTCGCACCTAGCTTTGGAGATGGGTTGATATCAAACATTTTCTCTGACCTTTGCTATGACTCATCTAAACCCGGTGACCTGACCTTTGAATGTTTAGCCCCTTCTTGTACCCCACCCACCCTTCTTCATCTGGCGTCCACTACCGATATTGGCACAGTCTATTGGCAGGTTTGACAAAGTGCCTAATTTATACTAACGAACAGCGTCCATGTTAATTTGATTGCCATGTGCACGTGAAGAGAACAATTTGCAAATTATCTGCTTCATTGATTCAAGTTTCTCCTCCTTCCCCCAGCCCCAAACCCTTCAATTAAGCAGCTTTTGGAAGCCACTATATCCAATTATTCTACGACAGCAAACATTCTGAAGAGTTATATTTTCAGTGAGATGACTCAGTGGTTAGCATTGGTGCCTCATAGCGCCAGGGGCCCGGGTTCGATTCCGAGGCAGCTATCTGTGTGGAGTTTGCACATTCTCCCTGTGCCTGCATGGGTTTCCTCCAGGTGCTCCGGTTTACTCCCACAGTACAAAGATGTTCAGGTTAGGTGGATTGGAGGTGGGAAATTGTCCCTAGTATCCAGGGATGTGCAGGCTAGGTGGATTAGCCATGGGAAATGTAGGGTGGGTCTGGGTGGAATGCTGTTTGGAGGGTCGGTGTGGACTAGATGGGCCAAATGGCCTGTTTCCACACTGTAGGGTTTCTATGATTCTTGCTTCTGATTGCTTTATCCAATGGCTTTCCATCACGACCTAATTTTAAAATGAAGTGACTACCACCACCCCAAAAAATTCAAACATTCCTGCATTGTTTTGCTTCGAATTAATGAACAAAATCATTTGTTTCACCGCACAAACACAATTTAGTGGTGAAAATATTTCAGTCATCACAACTTCCCCAAACGGTCCCAGTCGAAAGACTTCGAGCACGTATTCCCCAGTGGTGCAGTACTGATGGATTGCCGCAGTGCTGTGTTTTCAATGAGATGTTAAACCAAGACCTTTCTTGTCCTCTTGGATGGATGTTGAAGGTTGGTAGCAGTGTTTCAAAGTACAATTGAGGGAGTTCTCCCCAGTATCCTAGCCAATATTTATCCTTCAACCAATGTCATGAAACGAGATGACCTCATCATTATCAGATTGTTATGTGTGGGAGTTTTGGTGTGTGCAAAATAGCTGCCATGCTATGTTACAACAGTAACTGGACTTCCAAAGTACTTCATAGGCTACAAAGCACTTTGCAATATCCTGAGACTGTGCAAGATGCAACATAAGTTGAATTCATTTTCTTCCCTTTATTATTAAAAAAGGATATGACCAGGAATTTAATCTGCTTGTGAAGATATTTGTGCAAGTGTACCATCTGATGTGAGTGTAAAATATTGTCCTTCACTTTTGCAGGTTACTCGCACCTGTCCAGTGGTCTTTACCCTCCTTATATTCCACTTGGGCATTTGGAACACCCAAGCAGCGGCAGTCCAATTCTAGCTCAACTCAGCCAGCACAGCCTGTTCGAGTCTCAGAAAGGTCAGTGCCTGTTCTCTGTTGACCCATCCACTCCATTCTTTGCCTCTTTGGTCCATTGAGCTATTCTCATATTGGGAAACTAAAGCCTTGGTGCTTTAATTCTGGATTGCTCTGGAATGACAGAATAATGGAGCCCGACCACTTGCTGAATGTCATCTGTAACCAATCCCATTCTGGTCACATAACGCGATAAACAGTATCTTTCACGGCTGGTTAATTATTTTAGTCGGTCAGACAGTCACACGGAACTGATGTCAGTATTTTAAGAAGCTTTGGTCCACCTAGCAATGGACTAACTACAGTAGATTAATAAAATGACGGACATCTGGAATGCTTATTCATAGTGAGGAATGAAAAGTCACTTTCATTCAAGGAAGAGAGACTGAAAGAGGTGGCAATCTTGATATTGAAATGCTGCACGTCATGGATAATGTTGCTGTTAGGCAGATCTTCCAGTTGTAGATTTAATTGGAAGGGTCAAGCAAATAACTGGCAGACCAGTCCTGTAAACCCAAAGACCTTTTCCATTTAGAGATAGTAAATATATGAAGAAGCATATCAAGCCAATTGAATCCCTTTAACAAGGAATTATTTAACTGTATGCTTAGAATGGAAGTGAAGAATGTAAAGTTGGAAGTCGAAAGCTTTACACATTATCAAATGGGTCATAATGTTCCAGTTCTTTTGTGACCTTTGAAATCTCGTCAATGTGAGCAGCCAGGGTTGAATGATATGGATTGCAATGTTGGGATTGATATCCTGGGGAGCCTCCTTGCTGATCTTGGGGAATAGGAGTCAGGGAAATTGAACAGAGCGTTGATGTTTTGGAAAACAGACCTCTGATTGTTTCACAGTAGGAGCACATGCCATGATCCGTTAAGGTATCTTGCTCTGGAATGTTTCAATTTGCCTTTACAGAACCTGACTTCATAGCAAACTGTACTATAAATGACGTGCAAATCCATCTAGAATTGTACCATTCCCTTTGCTGTGAAATATTCGCTTTGAGATATCTTCTCATCTGCATTTTACTTTCCAAATTAAGATACTAATGCACCCAATATTAGTTTGTCTTCACTAAACATATTTTCTTTTCCCATTTAGCTACTGAATCAAAATGCACATTTTGCAGACAGTAATACTGAGGAGCAAGAAAAACAAATTGGATGAACACGTAAAAATAATTAAATGGTAAAGACAAAGCAGATGGGTCAGTTGCGGAGAGAGAATGATTGGTTAACATTTTGGCTAGCCCCCTTGAGATTAATTTATCTTCCTCATAAATCTGCTGTGGATTTCCAGTACTTTCAGTTTCCACTCCAAATTAATCTATG